GGGCAGCGGTGCCATGGCTCGAAGCTCGTCCTCTTCCATCAGAGCCGGCCTTTGTTGCTGATCTGCTCCCCGGGACACCTCTCCTTTCCCTAGAGCCCAGCCGGAGCTGAGCAGTGTCCCGACAGCCCACCTCGTGTCGAGGATGCCGTGCAAAGCCGCGAGAGCCCGACAGCAGAGCCAAGGAGGGAAGCGAGGAGGACATGGGCCTCCCCGGAGGAACACGGTGGGTGAGCTAGTTCTGGGCTTTGGGAACAGGGGGGGCCCTCTGAGTCTTGACCTCCTGCAGAATCCATGACCTTCGCTTTCCTTCTCCTGGCGTTGCCGGGAAGGGACTGGGTGAGTCCTAGAAACAGATGAATAATGACCCAGGGGCTTGATGGAGGTAGAGAAGACCACATTAATCCCCTCTCCCTCTCTGTTTCTTAAAGATTCTGCTAATGCATCTCTCAAAACTCTCTGCACCGTCAGGAGGCTGTTCCTGCTGCTCGGGCTCGCGGGGCTGCTGGCAGGGACAGCGGCTGGAGCATGGCTCCTAGGTCAGTGCCTGCGGCGGGACAGCCCCGTCGCTGCGGGCAAAGCCCAGCTGCCAGACTGGCGAGCCAGTTTGGGGCGCAGAGCGGTGGTGATGGGAGCTCCTTGAGCTGAGCTGCAGCTTGGGGCGGGGGGGACGTGGCTGGTGTGGGCTCTGCTGCTGGTTGCTGTGGTCCCACAGGCTGCGGCTGTGCCCATCAGCTCTTCCAGCGGGCAGTGCGGGATCATTCCCCATATTGTGCATCCTCGGAGGCTGCCCAGGCTGCGCAAAGCCACCTCCACCCCCTTCTCTGTTTCCTGAAGCGAAACACCTGAAGAAGCCTCAGCTGGACCAGGGCTTCACCGTGCTGCAGGAGCCGGACGCGATCCCAGCGTGCAGTGGTGGTGAAGAGGAAGACCCCGTGGTCCGTGGAGCTCCCAGTAGAGGTTTACATCTTTGCTTGCTGGCACAGAGGGTGGGGAGAGGGGAGCAGTGTGCAGGACAGCGCCTGCCAAGCCCAGCAAGAACAGAAAATTGCTCTTTAATAATAAACATCTCTTGCTGATCTACTATGTTCTTTCAGCTGCATTTTGCAATGTTTGCTCTGCTTTGGAGTCCTGCTGCATCCCCAGCGTTACGGCTTCATTGCATGGGGTCATCCTACAGCAAAGGCAACTCTTGCAGGGCTCTTTTGCGTGTAATCACTCAGCAGAGCTGGCACACGGGCACTGGGAATATGCGAATAGGTTCACGTATAGTTTCTAATTGCTTCAAATGGCTTTTTCTGGGGGTGGTTGGCTTTTTTTTTTTTCTTTAGATGTGCCTGATCCTCCACTATGGTGGCCCTGCACAGAACACTGCGAGGAAGGGAACTTGCAGGTTGTCTTTAATGGAATGGTTTTAGTGTCTTTCAGAATCAATGTGGCAAACTCCTTGCTGGAAGCGCGGGTGGAAGGCCGCCCTGGCTGGCTCCTGGCGTGCCACGAGCGCTGGAGCCTCTCCCTGGGCACCCTGCTCTGCCGGCGGCTCGGGTACCTCAGGTGGGCACGGCGGGGGCAGCCGCTTCGACCCCCACTCGCCCTTTTCCGAGGGGGCGATCTTGGCAAAAGCAGGCGCTGAAGGCTGGGAGGTTTGTCAGGGCAGCCCCTGGTGAACGCAGGGCAGCAAGCGGGTCCCGGGCTGGCATGGGGGACCTGCGAGAAGAGCTGCAGAAGATCCTTCCTCCTAAGGAGGTTCGTTCCCGGCTGCCGGAGCAGCAGGGCTGTGGACCGTTGTTCCCGTGGCAGGGTTAACTTCCCGATCCCCTGGCAGGTCCCGGCTCCGTCCTGGGATGTTTGCTGTTGCTTCTGCAGAATGACCCATCAGAAAGGAGTGAACCTGACGGACGTCAAAGTGAATGATACACAGGAGTTTGTTCAGGTGAGACCCCACCAGGAAGGCAGCCTGGAAGACATCTGGCGGGTCAGGTAAGGGCAGGTCTGGGGGAACCAGCGTTTGCTGGTGGGGCTGAAAAAAAAGACTCTGCCTTTTCAGGCTTAAGAACATAGAAATCTGTCCTGGGTTTGTGCAGTAAGCAGGTCCTCCAGGGACTGCTGCAGGTGTGTGCCCTAGTGCCCCAGAGGTTTTTGTTCATGTGTTTTCTGACCGGAGGCTTATTCCTGTGCAGGAGCAGCTGTGACTCCGGTCGCATCGTGGCTCTGAGATGCTCAGGTGAGCGCCCCCCTCTCCTCACCCACGTCCCCAAGATCTCTGCCCGGCTCTGGCGGTTCCCTCGTTTCCCTGACCCTCCAGCCTGCGGTTCTGGCGCCCGGCGCTGCGCCTCACACATGCTCCCCGGCTGCCTTGCAGAGTGTGGGCTGCGCCCCGGCACTGCGCGGGTGGTCGGGGGGGCGGACGTGCCCCCGGGGCGCTGGCCCTGGCAGGTCAGCCTGTACCACGGCTCCCAGCACCGCTGCGGAGGCTCTGTGCTGGCCCACCAGTGGATCGTCACGGCGGCTCACTGCCTGCACAGGTACCTCTGGGCTTTCCCGCGCCCATCCTCGGAGCCACTGGGCACCTGCTCTTATCCCAGCCTTGGCGCTTGTTGCCCTGCAGTAAGAGGCACGCTGTGTTTCTGCTCAGTTACAGGCGGCTTCAAGCCTCTGCCTGGCTGGTGTTCGCCGGTGTTATCGCCCACGGCTCGATCAAGCAGGAGGCCGGGGTATCAGTAAAAAAAATAATTTACCACCCACTGTATAACGACAATAGCCTGGACTACGACATTGCTCTGATGAAGCTCCAGGTCCCCCTGAATTTCTCAGGTAAGCTGCTGTCAGGACGCTGTCGTGTCCTCCTGCCGTCTGTGGAGTTGTCTGTCTGATCCCACAACTGAGATGGCCAAACCCCGGCATTTTCTGAACCATTTCAGAGCAGCTCTTTGAGGGTATGTAGCCTGGCCCCCGGGAGGCAGCGTGCGCAGCAGCGCGGTGTTTCCTCAACGATGCCAGAGCTGCGAGTTACTGGGAAGGTGGCTGTGGGAGCTCAAGTCTCCAGAGCAGCTGGCCCGAGAGCCTTTCTCTTCAACGCACCAGGCTGACGGCTCCACAGCCCTTCCCTGGCTGCTCGTGCTCGGCACAGCACGAAGCTGTCCCCGCTGGCCTGGCACTTACCCCGTCACCTTCTTACCAGATGCCATCCGTGCTGTGTGCCTGCCCCCCTCCCACCAGGACCTCCTCCAGGGCACCCAGTGTTGGGTCTCCGGCTGGGGCTATACCAGACCAGACCAAGGTAAGCTCCCGTCTTGTCCCTGCCGCTCAGCGCTGAGCGGAGCCTTTCCCCTTGCTCCCCTCTGGCCCTGCCCAGCCCCTTCCATGCTGCTCATCGTCTTGCGAATGCCCCCTCCTGCCTTCATCCCCCCTGCTCCAGCAGCTCTGCACCCCACATCCACAGCCTGGCCATATTTAATCCCATAAAGTAATGCCAACTTTCCCGTCTTCCGACCCCTCCGGCTACTCGCCCTGCTCTTCCCCTCTGGCTCCCTGCAGATCTTGTTTCCCCCTGGGCTTCTTTCTCCCTCCCCAGCACAGGTCACCGAGACACTGAAGGAAGCGCTCGTTCCCTTAATCGGAACGCAGCGGTGCAACAGTTCCTGCATGTACGCAGGCGAGCTCACCCCCAGGATGCTGTGCGCCGGCTACCTGCACGGGAAAATAGATGCCTGCCAGGTAACGGGAGGGAGGAACTGGTGCGTGCTGGGCGCGCATAGCAGGCGTGGAAAGGACTGATAATGTGCGATCCCGTTACGCTCCAGCAGATGCTGGGGATTGTGGCAATAGCTTGCAGTAAACAGTCTGTGAGGGGTAGCGTGTCTTGCACTGCAGTGTGGGGCACGCAGTGCCCTGGTGCGTCGGCACGGGGCTGAGATGTAGATACGTTTGTAGGAGGAACATGGAAACCTTGCAGGGAGGTGCACACGATTTGCACCCACGTTTCAGCTCCTTCTACGGCCGATCGAACAAGGAGCCAGCCTGATCTGCATCCCAGCTGCCGGGGGGGCAGAGCTGCTTCGCTACTCTCTGCTCTGCCTTGCAGGGTGACAGTGGCGGCCCCCTGGTTTGCCAGGATGAATTCGCGTGGCGCTTGGTAGGCATCGTGAGCTGGGGCCAGGGCTGCGCTGAGCCCAACCACCCTGGGGTTTATACCAACGTGGCTCAGCTCCTGCCATGGATTTATCACGTCACGGAGGTAAGCTGGAGCAAACAAAGGCGCACGTTCAGCCTAACCTACGGCCACGCATGTTGCACAGACAAATCCCAGTGCGAGCATCCTATTCTTCACTACCCTACACTCACCCTTGACACACGAACCACTGGGACAACCTCTCTTATGGTACTGATTCCTTTTTTTGCCTTTTTTTTTTTACTAGATCTACTAGAAATAAGGCAAGGAGAGACTTCACAGACCAACGCTTTGCCCTTTCTGCGCAGTACGTGGAGAACGGTCCAGGACTAATTCATACCGTGTTACTATAACCCTAACAGAATCCCCAAACAACACTAGAAAACATGCTCAATATAAATAGTTTATTAAAGAAAATACCAAATTACATTTCTGTGAACAATTCACAAGGGAGAAGTAGTGTTTTTCAAACTACATGGGTTTTTTTGATTGCTGTGTGTAAAGGGGCAGGGATCCCGTGAGATACAAGTGTTATGGGACAACTGTGGGTCTTCAGATAAATTACTTGGAGGGGAAGGAAAGAAAAAGCGGGAGTTTTAAGCAGCAGCCGGATTTTGCTCCGCTCTCGCCCTTCCTGGCTGCATTCCCACGTGCTGGACTCAGTCTAACCACCGATGTGACTGCGTTTCCCTCTCTCTGGCTTCTACAGTTGCTAAGGTGAGATTGAAAAATTCAAAGTCAGTTTTAAGGTATTTTCCATGAGAAATAAAGCCACGAGGAATTTTGCCCCTTGTGCAGAACCCTGTGACTTCATAAACAGTTCGCTGGGAACAGGATCTCCTCTTCCCCCCTCCCCCCACTAAATTTTCACTCTTGAGGTCTGCTCTTGGGGGAAACTTGAGGTGGGAAAGAGCAAAGTTTGGCACTTCAGCATTCTTAGAAGGATATCAAAAGCTACCGAAGTCTGTGAGCTTCATGAGTCATTTGCAGGAACAGAAGAGGTAAGACAGAAAGGGGCTACGCGCCCCCTGATGTAAAACTGCATAGATAAGATTAACTACTGAGAACTAAAAATCCCTCTACCAGACCCTTAGGGAAGCAAGCTTGAGATGGCATTGTACAGTGCCTCGCCTGACAGGCCCAGCTGACAACAGTGCCTGTTTTCACAAAGAGATGTTGGACACGTGATTGATTTATTTCTCTATGCTGGGCTTGACAGGAAGATGAAATCCTAGAGAACAGAAATTAGCACACATCACAAAAAGCATCTCCTCTTCACCAGGACTGTACACCCACCGCTCATGAAGGAAAACCTGGATCTGGCCAGAACGCCCCTGGGGAGCATGGCAGGAGACTGCATTTTCAAGCCCAAACTCCGTCTGGCTGGCAGATGGAGCGTAAGCGGTTAGCGTCCGTGCGTTGCCCACCTTTGATTGTGTAGTCCCAGATTCGCAAAGCCATCCTATTTGCCCTACTACAAATATTGAGCTAGGAAATGTTTCTTCTCCCTCAGTCAAGCCCCCAGCAAGCGTTTACCTAATGCTAAGCTTTTTTATACCGGTACAAACGAGAAGGGTCAAATCCAAAAAATATTTGAAAGACTCAGTTTGCTCCTGCTTTATCAGAAGATGCAACGTGTCGGAGCAAACACAGAGTTACTTAATTTTGGCCAGTGCTGCTGCTCTCCTTTCTGTGTTCTGGAACAAGGCTCGGATCAGGCTCTTCACTTCAGCTGCGGAGAATTCAGCTGCGAGAGGCCCCTTCCCATCCGCCCACCTACAAAGGAGAGAAAGATCTTTATTTAACCAAAATGCACAGAAACGTCATGTTACAACAAGCTTTCCGACCGCTTGTTACAGTAGTAAGTTTGAAGGCAAAACAAATCCAGTTAGCAGCTTATTAGCTGCATGCAATTGAGTCCAGAACTGTTTAGCTGGGCATACAGAGCAACAGGTTGTGAGGTGACTTTTGCACTCATAAACTGTGCCTTTTCCTTCTCCTAAATAAGCCTGAAGCCTGTCTGCAGAATTCCCATTGACCTCTCAAACAATGTCGGGGGGAAGCGGTGTCTATGGTTAGGTGGAAGTAGAGTTGGGAACCTTTGGCGTCTGACACGGTTGCAACAGCAGCACTCAGCAGGGCACGGAAGAGGAACTGCCTTCCCTCCGTGCTTTCTCCGTGGCCGCTACCTTCTCAGCTTAGCCTGCGGAGGGCACGATGTTCTCTTGCCATTCAGACATACGTGTGAGGCAGCTGTGAACAGGGAATGTCTCAGTTCTGACAACTCGTGCCGACCAAAGTAATAGAAGTAATTATGCAAATCCTCATGTATAATTCAGATGAACCCCCCCCGCAAGTTAAAAGAAGCAAGAAACAGTATCTAAAAAGCAGAGGCTAATCATACGGAATGACTGCAGCAGCAAGGCGCAGCTACCATCAAAAGCAGTAGGCAAAATGCCAGGCTGCCGACCGTGAAATACTTCTGACCTTCGAGAAGCCAAAGGGAACACACAATCGCTCTGTGGTTGGCTCTCCCGTGGCACTTGTTTTTTCACTGTTGCCTTTTCCTTCGCAGGAGGCAGCTGAATATAGGAGCGAGTTTGAAATGGACTACAAACACCCAGCCAAGAAACAGCCCCAGCAGCAGTTATCTGATCCGTATTAACGGTGACTACCTTCCCCCTGAACGGAGTCCCAAGTGCAGTGCCCTGCTGACGTCAGACCGCTTCCCCGCTCCCTGTTACTGGGGTGAAGAACTAACTGCAAAGGAAGACAGGAAGACACCTACTGATCTACTATTTCTTGGAGATTGGCTTGCAAGATGATCATCAGCTCTTTGAACGTCATCCATTTCTGCACGTAGACTGGAACTTCCTCTTGGTATTTCTTATTTTTGTCATCTTCAGGTAGTGGGGTGAAAACTTGGGGTCCTTCCTCCACCATGGTCCTACAGAGGGCGTACAACCTATCTGCATCTTCTGCAGAGATATCCTAGAATCGAACAAATGTTAACAGGGGGCAGTTAGCTATATTTTTGGAGTGCCAAGCAGTAAGTGAAACGAAAAGAAGGTGGCTATGTGTGCGAAGATGAGAGCGGTGGTTCAGATCACGTTTAACATTCTCAAGCTAGCGTAAGTTATTTCATGAAGAGCTATTTCAGCAAGTTCTCAACGACTGCCTCAGAACAGTGGTTGCGCTTCCAAACAGCGTATCTTAGCGCAACAGCAATCATTTAGCTGTAAAGGAGAGGGGTTGTGACGAAGGTCTGAACAGTTTACAAGGAAATTGCTCGGGCACCGTCAGCCCAACGAGGAAAGCCAAGCTTTTTGGCAGGCACAGCCTGAGCAAGTGTCCGGTAAACTAGCTGTTACGGGAAAAGAGGACTTATTGGCCTAGTGCACAGCAGGGAGGCTCTTTAGATGTAGACTACAACTAGAACAGATGCACTGTTGTATTTCTATCATTTGCTGTGAAAACGTATTTTAATTAAGACATGTAATAGGATAGTTGTACTTGACCCAAGGTAACCTGACAATCACTTAAACACAGTACTGGGAGTCAAACGGAGATTTGAACAGATAGGAATTTCAGTTGGAAATGCCACAGGTATTTTGGCATCTGGTGCCTAGACAGGATGGAGACGTTCATTAGAGATGCACAGACTGAATCAGAATAGGTGGAGTTTGAGACAACAGTTAACTCCTGTGCCCTGAACAAAGAAAAAGAGATCGCTTCATAGGAATGTTTACACTAGGAGTGATGCACCTAAATCCAAACTAAGATGAAATCATGGCTGCTTCCCTGGCTCCCCCTTGACTACAGAGTCAGGGAATTGCTGTAAAGGTATATATGGTCTCAATTAGACGTGAGTTATTGGTATCTTTAACATTTCTCCTAGATGGGACCACAGTTATAATTTCTGTGAAAGATAACGGTTCCCCTGAAACCCGATCGTGGAAAGAACTTCCAGGGGTCATAAACGCTAGCTGTTCACAGCACCTGACGCCTGGCACGTCCCATGCAGTTACCTCTAGGGCAGCAATCCTAGTGACAATCTCTGAGAGCGCTGTGTTCAGTAAAGTCCCCATAGCCTTGCAGTATACGTTCACCGGAAGGACATCTTGCCAGACTTTTCCCAGTCTTTTCAGCTGATGCAGTACCTGGAAGATAAGAGCTACGTGTTATCTACATGTTATCAAAAAGAACATTATGAGAGGCACCAAAAGATAAGGCAACTACAAGTGGTCAGAAACCAGTCTGAAAGAAGCAAAAGGCAATGTAGTATCCTGCTATCGCATAGAGCAGACGTTCCTGGGAAAAAATGCAACGTTTTCAGTTTGCGTTAAGGCTCATCCAAAGCGTGCCAGATCTTTTCCTTGAAAAATTAAAACCATTGTAAACGTACTATAGAGAAAACTTCAGGATTAAGAAGCTTTTCATGTCAACTTGGAGCAAAAGGCACTGAACTCGGCGTGCTCTGATTTCACAAAAAAGATACAGCCTGGGAAAAAAAAATCATGCGACAAAATTGTTGTTTTGAAAAGTTCCACTCTGCCGGAACACTGCACAGTTCTCAGGACTGAGATTACGTACTGATCCTTCCCAAGGATGACAACTACGGACAATGGCAAATGTGGCTTTGATTGCCTGCTTACCTGCCTTATTGCTTTGTTTGCTGCACAGTAATTTTCCTCATCATCCATATTAGAAAAATTCCTGGCACTTGACAGCCTCTCCAGGATTTCTCCTTTCTGCACTCGCATCTGGGCCAGAAAACACTCCATCCCTTCAGGAGCAACAACGAACAGAGAGAAGCAATTAAGCAATTATTAAATTTGCTCTGCCAATTTAGAGACTGTAAGTGCTGAATAATGAACTTGCTATAATGTTTTATTTTTAAAGGCATTTCCAGTCTCTAAACAATCTCATAGAGCCCATTTAACTAGGCCCACTCACGTATTGGGTAAGCTCTTGCACAGTTTGCATTGCTACACCACTTTTGAAAAAGAGCCGTGCAGCAGAATTAGCTATGGATGACAGGCTCCTCTTACCGCCTTATCTCAGAATTTCTTTCCGTAGAATAAGCTATAGAAGCTAAAGAAAACATCAAAGGACTGAGCAGCAGATCCCAAAATAGCTGAGTGCCCCAACATCTCGCTGGATAACGAACTGCTCTTGGAACTATGTGCTGGACAAGAAGAGCGGGGTTTCAAAGAGTCGGGCCCTAAACAGCCATCTTGCTTAGACTCCTAACGCTCTGCCAGACTTCCTAATTGAGAAAATGTCCTGGCTACTTGTCAAAACTCTCAAATAACAATCCGTTGCTTGAGTCAGTAGCCACGTGTTAAATCATTCTGCAACAAATGCCAGGACCGATTACCCTGTCATCCATCGATATATTTCAATACTGAAAAGTAAAATTACCAAGTCTCCTAAAACCGGGTACCAGATCTACAAAAGTAGCTGCTCCGTCGCACAGGATGTTCGTCAGGCGGTATCGGAACTGGTGTCCCAGGGTGAGCAAGTGGTGAGCAATATACATGCAGTTGTTGTGGTGAATGGCTGCCAGCTGGGGTAACTTCTGAAGGTTCTCTCTGTTCCAGGAAGGAGGAAGAGAAAAGGAAGAAATGTTTTTCTTTAGACCAGGCTCTGTTCAAAAAATTGTCTCGCCTACCCTAGAGAAACTCACAGCCTGCCTCAGACAGACGTTGCGAGTAACTAGCTGTAGGCAATGCCTGCTAAAGGCAGTAGTCAGAATAAAAGCATTTAAGAGGCCCGAGACACATCCACACAAGAACTGAGAGGAAAGGAGTTTCACGGCTAGGGAAAGGGCACTTTGGCGTTTGAACCACACGTTACATCCACATTGTTTCGAGCAATGGGCTTTCAAACAGGAAGATGCTTTGTTATAGCACGATGGTGAGGAAAAGAGAGAAAAGTCCTTTTCAGTGTTCTCCGACAGAATTGTTACCTTCAATATTCATCATTGCTCTTTTTTTACAGGAAAACCATCATGAAAAATCTCTGCATCAGTCCTGGGGTCGAAGTTATGTGGCTGGATTCAAACACAACTGGTATCTACCGCCTTGGTCTGAGACTGCCGACTCAGAAACTGTCAAGCACCTATTTTGCAGCAGGTATGATTTAATAATAGCTTAAGAGTACTAGCTTTCTGCTGCTGGAGGAACCCCTTAGTAATCTCTGTAAACTGTGGGGCTGTTCCGATAGCATTGTTCTCTCTCCCTAACAGGCCCTAGGTAACACAGGTGCACAGACACACTTACTTGTGGTACGTTGGCACTACGTCGTAGAACAGCTGGAATATATTCCGCACAGAGTAGAAGAGCTGTATACAGCTACAAGGAAAATAAGGTCCACGTTAGTTTGTCAGGGGAATTAATGTCTGGTTCACAGGCGACCCTCAACCTTCTCCAAACCCAGGTTTTATTAGCGGTAAAGTACTGGTACAGAGAGCAGGTTGTCGGGATCAATTACAGCGATGTCAACAAAGGCAACATTTTGGAAAATTTACAAAGGCTTCTCACAAAAGCTGTGATGACCTTCTAAGTTCAGTGTGGAAAAGACAAGCTTCAGACCGCATGTCAGAAGGGAGATACGTGAAACCCCAGGAACAAAGGGGACACTGTCCTTTCCCCCACCAGGTGTGCGTAAATAGTCAACCCCCTCTCTGCCACGGTACGCCGAGGGCATTCGGTACCTAGGCAACTCTCCTTCAGGGTCGTGCTCTCCAGTTTCTAGAGCAGACTGTATGTCATTCCTCAAAACGTTTTTGTCTCTGAAGAGCCCTGCCAGGTGCAGAGCGGGAGTTCTGTGCTTTCACCCAGTACAAAGAGAGCAAAAGTCGCCTCAGATAGTTGTGATTTTTCTAAACAACTGACGGCTGACATACGATAAAACATTGAAGTGAACACCGGTAGCGTTTCTGAATGCTCTCAACTGAAGTTGGGAGTTTTAAAGTTCTCTTAATCTACTAACAGATGCTTGGTGTTGTCAAAGGCAATAAGTATCTGACACCTAAGAGTTACCCACTGATACCGTAATTCCTACCACTGATCTGTGCTGGCTGTAGCCTCCGCCAGCGTCTGATAAGCCAGCTCCATCAGCTTCTCCACTGATGAACTGATGCGGCACGTGGGCAGCGAAAACGTGTACTGGCTCAGTTTAGTCTCATTCTCCAAATTCACCATGTCGTTACACAGAACTTTAGAAGTTTTTTCCATTTTTAAGTGATCTCCTGCCACAGGACCAGGAAGCCTTGGTAGGGCTACGCAAGAATCAGGTGTGATCTAAGGGAAAACAAGAGAGGTATAATTTAGAGCGCACGGCAAGGAGACTGCGCAAGACTACAAAACATTGAATGACAGAGATTTAAGACTCAAGAAAAGCACAAGGCCGCAGAAGTCCCCTAAGACTGCTGGAAGTCTCCTGGGTTATGAACCACTGAACGCAGCAGACCACGAAACAATCTATATAGCGTTGTGTACCTAGAAGCAAGTCTGTAAGTAATCCTTTAATTCTTCTTATGTTTATCACACTAGCCAGGAAAGCCTATAAAAGCAAACTTCAAGTATGTTAAGAACATCTTGTTAGTGAAATAACCTACTTGAGCTCTATTAAAAAAGGCTTTGAAACCATTGTTTGCCAAGATCCCCAGATAATCAAGAGTACTAAGTGGTCCACAAAAAAAGAACTCGACTGTCCTAGACAAGCCTTCTGCAACAGCTAAGCTATTTTTTCACATGGAAAAACAGTGTATTGCATCAACAGTCACCTTCACAGTATTGTGTATTTCTGAGGTCATCAGGTTTCTGGCTGCCACAATCACGTCCTGGCACTTCTTGTTAGCAAAGTGGGAATTGACATTACGGGCGTATTCCAGTAAATCAGTCGTGTCTCCTTTCAAAAACTGCATGTTCTTCAAGGCTTTTTCAAATTCCTCTGTGGATTTAATCACCTGAGAAGAACAGACACATATTCTACATTAATGCAGTTTCCCAAAATCAAAGAACAAGATTAAAGTTGGGTAGAAACTCTTCCACTCAGCTGAAAGCAAGGGCTGGACCTAGGTTTTCGAGGGCTCTAACCATCCAGTAGATTTCCAGCTATCTTTTGGAAAAAGCTGGCTCAGCTGGGGGCCATGAGCGCAGAATAACACCGTGTTTGAACTGCAGGTTTGTCCCCCAGCCGTGCTGGCAACCTAATTCAAAAACCAGAGGAGCAAGATGATCACGTTTCATTACACTGGGCTACCTGGGATAATGGGACCAGGAGGTTTATCCTACAACTGCTTCTGTTTGTAACAGCCCCCTCTCCAGGAAAAGGAGCTTTTGGGCATTCTTTGCTAGCAATAGGTTCTGGTTTAGGTACGCAGTTTTCAAAAACTTAGTGGACTATACAAGAAACCCCTGCAATCATTAACAACAAATACAAACTGAGCAATCAGTCCTCAGGAGGCCAAGGTGGGAAAGCAGCTCTGCCACATCGTCATCTTCAGCCTCCCACAGAGCGCCTTACATTGCACATCCTGAAAGTCTCTGGGTTTTAGCTAAATGTGGCCTGAGTTCCAGGGATCAGAGACCTCGCACGCTTCACGTGACAGGAAAAACAAGCCACAGCTTAACTGAGAGAAATACACAATTCTGAATTAGCAAAACACAGCTTTTTGTTGCAGCTGGCCATCTGGCATTTCCACTCAAGGAATCTGAATTTTGAGACCTACCTCTATATACTGCTCTAGTTTGCTGCTATTGGTCGGGATGGAATTCACCAGACAGTTCTGAATGAGGCAGTCTGATAACTCTTCCCATATCATATCGCCTAGCAGTTCTGCGAGGGTAACTCCGCACTCCTTTTTGTCTTCCGCTGGCTCCTCGAGAGGCACATCTGAATTCAAGAGAACAGAAATCGATCTTAATACACCTGCTTCCTGGACCAGAAGCTTCACCAGATCGTTCAGTCCCTCCTGTCAGAACAGCAGCTATCAGCTGTCCCATAATCTTGTAATGGAGGTATTCTTTTTGTCCAGGCCATGTGCTGGGCCTGTGGAATCGCCCAGCCGATCAAAAGACAGCTGGATTTACATGTAAACTGAGCCCACTTTCCCAGCATGTTTCTTTCGTGAAATGCCAACAAAGCCCAGGCCAGTTTCTAGGCAATGGAAGATCCCGCGTGTGACCAGCCTGACCGAGGGAGCTCCATTGCATCCTGACTTCCACCTCGGAGACCGGCGGCGTGCAAAGCTCTTAAATGCAGCCACTGGTTCATAAGCAAAAACATTTACCAAAACATTAATTCCTTGATCCCTTGGAGCCAAAATACTTTCCTCCTTCGTTTTCCCAGCTCTGAACGCTGGATCACCGCTAAGTCCAGTTTGACAAGGTGCCAAGCTGTTCAAGAGCACAGCACAGCAAGTTAACATCAAAAGCTGCTTAGACCTTACGCGTAATTCAATACTGCTTAATAACCAGATATTCCAGAAAGCTTCCGCTCCAATTAAATGAACAAAGTACTTAACTCAGTCTAATTCCAAAAGGGAGAAAATACCTACTCAGCAGGTATTTGTGGAGAACTTCAAAAACAAGCTGGATCTTGTAAAAAACCTCCATAGGAGAAGAATGATCCAAGGTCGGCTCCTCAGACTTAAACCGCAGGATGAATACGTCTGACTGTTCCTCCGTGAACGGCTGAAGGGACGGGTACAAAATCAGCGGCTTGAGGATGTATTTCAGCAACAACTGGCCTGAGAAATGAAAACCAGATGTTTTCCAACAGCAGGAGGCAGGCAGTTTGCTCTAGTGAAGCCCAACCACGACCGTTTTGGATATAGAGATTCTTCAGGTGAAGTGGAAGAAACGCTCTCTTGCTTAGCCGTATCAGGGCACAGCTAATGAGGTAAAATGCCGGGTTTGGTTTCGCTACAGACCATTTTACTTGTGTTAAACACATAGAGGCCTAACAAAGAGCAGCATATTTAATGTAAAGCGAAAAACAACTTAAACAGCTGGAAGCATGAAATCCTGTCTTAGCACCTGCCATACTTCACAACTTCTTTTATCAACACCTGAGAATGCTGAAGCCCAAAGACTGCCTGAAACCAACATTCTTGCTCTTGGTAGATGAGGAGGCTGTCACTGGAAAAAACTCTTTAAACATCAGACCTTGAAAACACATAGCCACAAATCAAACCAGTACACGAGAGTAAATTGACAGGAAAGGATACGTAATTCTGGATAAATAACAGGATAAATAATTTCCTATTAATAAGAACCAGAGCATTCGCCTCGCACTCAGTGGGAAACACAAGCCAAGAGCGAAAGAAGTCTTCCAGCGTACCGCTGAAGTGAACAGGATCTCGATATCCATCTTAAAACAAGCCTGCACTCGTACCCGCTCGGGCTGCTATAGCTATGTGTATCTAGATGCACGGTCTGTCTTACCAAAAATTTTAAGCTTGGCGTGCAGCTCTCCTAGGACAGCAAATGCCTGCAGCACAGAAGCAACAGGTGGGCCAGCAATCTCCTCCTCTTTTGATGGCATCGTGCGTAAGTGCAATTCTGAATGCATCACTGACTCCAGGCTGCCGCTTTCTAAAGAAAAAGAAGAACCATCTCTCTGTCAGAGTGCCGTCTGAGATACAACAGATCTGAGAAGCTACTGCACTCCTCAGGTGGCAGCTAAAGCAATGTTCTACCTCTCCCCATTTCCACAAAACACTGTTCCTGTCAAAGAGTGTCAGAAGAGGGTATAGAGTTCCTTACGTTACAGCGCAGGGCAACAGAACGAGAGTTGTTCTCTTTTAATGATCTAGAATTCTCGTTTCGGTTGCCTTGCAATTGAATGGCATTTAGTGACAATCACTTTCCTTGCCCTCTTCTCCCCATTTCAAGTCAAATCCAAAGGAAAAAGTTTTTTTCCTTTCCAAAGGAAAAGCTGGTGTTTCAATGCAGACAGCAACGTATAGCCTCTTAGGCAGTTCTTGCAATTAGCTGTTCTGATCTCTGCTTCAACATTTTCTACGAAATACCACAGAAGAGGCCGATGAACCTTCAAAACTGTTTCAAATCTAGTGACTACATCCGATTGCTCTTGGTAGCACCTAAATACTCCAGCGGTATTTAGTATCCGAAGAACACTACCAGTCATCTCTCCCACTCATTAGGTTATGCAAACGGCAGGTAGAACTCCTTAAACCAACCATAGTTCTACAGTACCACTGTGTCTCCTATCCTGTAGGTTCTTGAAACCAGGCACTTCAAATGGCGAAACCGACAGAGTGAAATTAACCGGAACTGTCCCGACCTTGTGAAGGAGGAAGCTTCCATACAGCCAGTCTCTGCCATTCTTCTCCTAGATGATAGAGCATGTTCTGCGTCTGCACTGTGAGCTCTGTGCCTAGTGCTTTCAGGATCTTCAGCTCAAAGCCCTTGCGGGATTCCAGCATTTTCAGGCTGCTTCGTGCCTGGTGGTGAAGATCAACCACAAAACATGGGTAAGCGTTGCCTCCGCTAATGAAAAGCACCTTGTGAAATTTATTGAAAGTATACGTGAACAATACTACCATATACTTTTAAGAAGCGATTACCTTTTCCAGTTGTTGAGCTGCTGCAACATACTTCTTTTCCAGCAATGCAGTATTGTAGTCTTTAATAGCTGTATCAAACTGTAACAATCAAACAGATTTAGATGCCACTGTATATCTGCTATTAGACTACCATTTTTTAAACCCCACGGCTACAGACAGGGGAGCTATAGACATTATTCCAAAGAGAAGCCCAGAATAACGCCACAGACTGAGCAGCAGAGAGGATGACTACCACTTAGGATTTTAAGCTGCTCCCCCTACTCACCTCCTGTAGCTTTTTCAGAATGCTCAGAACCAGTGTGTCGCGCTCCAGTTGCTGCTTCAATTCGGTGAATTCGGCAACAGCGACGTTTAGATCTCGCTGAACCTAACATCACAAATTTTTCGGTTCCTTTACAACAAGCAAATGTTATCAGATGCATTTCCTCTTAAAAGTGGTGATGATATAAAGTTTAAATATTTCTATTACTAGAATAATTTGTTGAGGAGGAAAAAGGCTACATCCGTTTTACTCCTTGCTAGGAAGATGTTTATAAGCGTTGGAAACACTTACAAACTGTTTTCTCTTTTGATACAGGTTTTTTAAAGGCACTGTAAAGAAATTTAGTCTCAAAAGGACTTCAGCGTTCCTTTGATACAGCCATTTAAAATGCAAAAACACTTGAACTAAGCCAAAAAGCTAATTCTTAATTAACACTGCTACATAACCCCAGACGCTGGAAAATCACAGAAGCAAAAACCCGAAAGGGGGTCTGCGATCCAGCCTGCAGGAGCTGCTCATTCTCCTGAAATACTTCAGCGAGCGTGCACAGCTATGACTTAGAATCCCATTCCGCCCGAAGTCACTGTGGGGCTCAGCCGGTCTGGTACTGTGTCACACCTTACCACAATACACAGGGCTGATCCTTCTCTCCTTTCGGAAGGACACACTTTTCCAACCGTGCAGCCGAGAGCAAAGGCCGCCAGTCGTGACAGTTAATGACAGTTCTTCACGTAACACCCCTCACGTGACACACCCCGCCGGGGCGCGTGTCACCTAAAGGCATTTTTAGGGGCGACATCACCCAGGGCTCTTGGGCAGGAGTCCTCCTCCCCAGCCCTTGCAACACACCGAGATGGGGGGGCAGTTTGGGACGGCGCTGCAGGGCAGCGGCGGGGAGGACCGCGCTCTCACCTCGTTTTCAATGCCCGCTTTCAGCAGGTCGATGTTGCTGGAGAGTCCGTCCACCTTCGACACCAGGTCCTCGGCGCTCTGCATGCTGGGCAGGAACTCGTTGTACTTCTTGTTAATCATGTTGCAGACTTCTCCCTGGAGCAGAGGGACGGCGGGGACACCGTCGCTCAGCTGAGCAGCGGCCGCGGACCCCTCCCCGGCCCGGGCTCACAACCGGCCGCCCGTTCGACCCTCCCGGCCCGACCCCCC